TTTTAGGACTTAGACATCTGGTTAGGCTCATACGGTTAATAGATTTTATCACCATTTACAAACATGTGTTCAATTCTCTGTATAGTTTGTTCTCTCTCTGAATTGAACCTATTTTGATGCAGGAATCAATATTCTATGTGGTGTAGGTCTACTCACAATGCCTTACGCAGTAAAAGAAGGAGGATGGCTAGGGCTTTTGATACTCTTCTCCTTCGGTATCATCACTTGCTACACCGGTATTCTCCTCAAACGATGTCTTGAAAGCTCTCCTGACCTCCATACCTATCCCGATATCGGTCAAGCCGCCTTTGGATTCATCGGTCGCCTAATCATCTCCGTAAGCTATATGGGAACTATTTACTTTTTAATATCTCCAAATTACTAAAACTTAATAGGGTTTTGGATCTCTTTTGAGAGTTTGCAGATACTTTTGTACATGGAGTTATACGCATGTTGTGTGGAGTATATAATCATGATGAGTGATAACTTGTCGAAACTTTTCCCCAACATATCATTAAACATCTTTGGAGTATCTCTAGATCCTTCACAGATCTTTGCCATAACAGCCACTCTAATTGTTCTTCCTACGGTTTGGCTTAGAGACCTTAGCTTACTCTCCTATCTCTCAGGTTCCATGTTTATATATAAATCCTTATGAATAGCTTTGAGATTCGATCATTCTCTAATAATATATGTGCTCCACTCTTTTAGCCGGAGGAGTCTTCTCCTCTATTTTGCTGGCTCTTTGTCTCTTTTGGGTCGGGTCGGTTGATGGAGTCGGGTTTCACCCGGGTGGACAAGCTCTCGATCTCGCTAACTTACCTGTCGCGATCGGGATTTTCGGTTTTGGGTTCAGTGGTCACGCAGTTTTCCCAAACATTTACTCTTCCATGAAAGATCCATCAAAGTTTCCCTTGGTGCTACTCACTAGGTAAAAAAATACCCTTCTCTTTAGGTTACTTGTAACGGAAGTAAATGGTATATTAGGTCACAACATTTCATTTATCATATCTTCTTTGGCAGTTTCGGGTGCTGCGTAATCTTTTACATAGCCGTAGCGATTTGCGGTTACACTATGTTTGGTGAGGCGATTCAATCGCAGTTTACACTAAACATGCCTCAACAATTCACTTCATCTAAAATCGCAGTTTGGACAGCGGTTAGTAGTTAATCACTTGATTAAAAACATGTTTTCTTCCTCTTTATATACTGTAATTTTATTATGGTTTTTTCTCTCATTCTAGGTCATTACACCTATGACCAAATACGCGTTATCTCTCACACCGATCGTGCTAAGCTTAGAAGAACTTTTGCCGGCTTCAGAAAAAATGAGATCCAACGGAGTATCAATGTTTTTTAGAACGATATTAGTTCTATCTACTTTAATTGTGGCACTTACATTCCCATTTTTCGGTAAAAAGCCCTAACTTATTTTGCAAGTAACTATTTTCGAAGAACCTCTATCTTTATCTTCGTTTGCTCTATAACTTTGCAGCGATCATGGGGGCTTTGATGGGATCTTTCCTCGCAATGCTTGTCGTAAGTCTCCGATAACGGAAATATTTGATCAGAGTTTCAACTTTTTAAATCTATCAAATATGTTCTTAAGGATTCATAATCTTCTTTAATTACTGTGCAGGCTTTTATATTTCCATGTCTTTGTTATCTTAGTATCTTGAGGGGTAGACTGAGTAAGACACAAGTAAGTGATACATTCATTTGTTTTTGTTTTTTTCATGCCTTAAAGTGGTTATTCTTTTGATTCATTGTTTGATTTCTCATATGATAATTTTTTTGTGTTTTGCAGATTGGAATATGCGTTTTCATCATAATCTCCGGCACTGTAAGCGGTAGCTGCGGAACGTACTCCGCTATTGGAAGATTAGTAGGAGAATGGAGTTGAATGGTATACATTGATGAACAATGAAACAACATAGAATTGTGGGAAAAAATAACATAGAATTGTGGGAAAAAAATAACATAAAATTGTGGAACAATCAAATTTTGAAGAGACTAATTTTAATTTAAGTAGTAAAATATTTAAGGTTTATTCAACAGAGTAATGAAGTTTTGTGAAACTTTAAAAGACTAATTTGAATTGAGTAATAAAGTTCTGTTTTACTGGTTTTAATTAGTGATCTTCTGTTTTTTCAAAAAAAAAAATTAGTGATCTTCTGTTCCATGAACGAAATTATATGGGTCAAGTGATAGAT